CTCCCACCTCCTCCTCCTCCTCCTTCCTCTTCCTCCTCTTCCTCCTCGTCCTCCTCCTCTTCCTCCCTCCTCTTCCTCCTCCTCCTCCTCCACATGTTGAGTCCAGTTAGTACTGTTTGTATGCCCTTGGGCATAGAGCCATCCACTGGAACATGGTTGACCTACCAAGGGCCACACCCCTGAAGAAAATGAATTCTCCCTTCCCCAGCAGCCATCAACTGCCAATAGCTCCTCAGATAGGGGTAGGGGTTCATATGTTTCCCGCCCCCAAATCTATGCTGGAGTGCTGACTGACTTGATCTTCTGCAGACTATAGTGACATAGTTGCCATGAGTTTCAGAGGACTACAGCCCTGTATGTCCAGAAGACACTGCTTATTTCATAGCTGTCATCCCTGAGCTCTCTGGTTCTTACAGCCTTTCTGCCCCTCTTCTTGATTATTCCAACTTGAAGACAGAGGTGTGATACAGATATCCCATTTGGGGCCGAGGACTGCACAGTCACTTATTCTCTGTATATTGACAAGTTGTGAATCTCTGGGTCGACTGCTGTCCACTGCAAAAATGAAACTTCTCTGATGAGGGCTGAGAGCTAATCTATGGGTATTAAGTATTTAGAAGGCAGTCTGATACTATGTCTGTTGAGCATAGTAGGCTATGCAGGCTGCTGGGTTCTTAGCCATGTTTACCGTGCCAGGTATGAATTCCTTCACGTAGAGCAGGCTTTAAATGCAGTCAGAAAGCTGTTGGTTAGCTCCATGACACTCATGCCACTCTTTAACCAATGGGGGTATCTTGCCAGGCTGGTTATTATTGCAGCTCAAAGGATTTTCAGCTGGATAAGGCTGTGATGACTTTTCTCCCCCAGCAGCCCACATAGCACCTTCTAGTACTATGAAAGCGAGCCAGCAGTGGGGAAGCTTCCAGGTCAGTAGCAGATTGATTTCTGCAACCTGAGACCTGTTCTGTGACCAAAGTGTGTGGTGTCTCACATCACACGTTCTTTTTAAAAAATATTTTATTTATTATTTTTTGTTTTATGTGTATGAGTGTATTGCCTGCATGCATGTAGGTGCACCTGTGCTGCGCAGTGCCTGTGGAGGTCAGAAGAGGGTGTTGGATCCCTTGGAATTGGAGTTAAGGATGACTGTTAGCTACCGTGTGGGTGCTGGGAATTGGACCTGGGTCTTCTGCAAGTGCAGCCAGTGCTCTTAAGCACTGAGCCAGCTCTCCAGCCCCATCTTCACACATTCTTATGCTGTGCTCGTGGTGTTCAGATGCTGCCTGAACTGCTGTGCATTAGCTTCTTTGTTCCACAAAGCTAAGAACTGATATTATATTATTACCCTCATTTTATAAGAGAGGGAACTTAGGTTATAGAACGCTCCAATGGCGCAGGTCTGAAGAGCAGAGTTTCAATGGGGCAGCTCCTGGGTCTTATTGTTGATCAGTGTTTGATGGAGGCTTTCTTTATGGGCTGTGTTCTGTGGCATCTGTCTAACTATACAATTACGGTCCTTCAGAATCCATCTCATACAACACGTTTGTCATTTACTAACCACACTTGTAGCAATGTAGGCTTTTCATTTTTCCAAGCTCAAAAGCCTCAAAATCACCACAGCAACAAGATTTCTTAGGAAATTATAAATGTTGAGAACAATCTTGTTTTCCTTCAGTTGTTAAGTGACTCACTGCATAGATACAATCATGTTTAGAACCTCATCATTGGCTTAGCAATTTCATCCTAAAAATGAGCTTGGTACAGCTAGCTAGGGTCATTGATGATGCACCCGACACTTGCCATTTCTCAGTGATGATGTGAAGTTCATAACCATTGCTCACTGGAAAATATTTGAGATGAATGACAAACTGATTAGCAAATATGACTTATGAAAAAAAACAGGGCAAATTTCTGTTTAGTTGCATTTCAAGTTAGCTCATTGCAGAAGCTTGAGCGTCAAGAGAAATAGCCTGTGATTGTTGCTAGGGGAAACAGGCTGAGAAGTATTTAATTTGTATACCTTTCAATTAATCATCCTTTTCAAATGATGGCAGTGAAAAAACTGGACCCATGCAACTTGCATTGGAGTGGAACATACATATTAATATATTATTCATCTATGTAAAGGCAGCGTGCAGTAAGATTACATATAAAATGATACAGAAGTCACTTCTAAGAAAAATATAGATGTAGGAAATGTCGATCTTGGAGGAGAAAATGCCATCACTGAACTGTTAGGGTCAGTGAAGTTGCTATGATTGAGCCCATTTTTATTTTTAGTGTCTTAAACAGTGTCAGGACCATTTTGTAAGGAGCCCAAAGAGTGATGGGAAATAAAGGATAATCATGAGGCAGGGCTGCCGCTGTGACCTAGTCCAAGGTTACTCTGTCCTTCCTCTTGATTGCACAGAAAGAAAAGATTTAGGGAAATCTGAAGAGAAGGTTGCCCTGGCCCACCTTCTCAGACAGGCTTTACTTGTTACTGGTGATGGCAGCTGAGGGGACTCTCAGGAACGGAAAGCTGCAGCAGAGAGGAAGGAGCCCAGGTATTCTTGGCAGCAGGGCAGCAGATCTGCCTGTCTGAACCATCTTAGGGAGGCGACTGGGCCCAGCCAGTATTCAAGAAATAACAAAAGCAGCCTGCTAGAGGTCAGTAGATGACACTTATAGATCATTAAGAAAGATGATTTGCTTTTTAATGCTTGTGTTTAAGCACTAATAATCTAATAGAGAGCTTTATTTTTTAACTTCTTATGATTTTGCAGCAGGATCTGATTATTTAGCCCAAGCTGGTCTGCTACTCACAATCCTCCTACCTCAGCCTTTCTCTCAAGTACTGGGAATATAGGCATGTGCCACCACACCCATCTGAGAGTTTTACTTTTGACAAAATGAGGAATGGTGAGGATTTTCTATTTTAATCCTGCAACTGAAATCACATGTCATTGATTCAGAGGGTCAGAGGGTATCCCTGATGAAGGAGCAACCATAATTAAATACTGTAATTCTTCAGTTCCAGGATGAGGATGCTTCTATACTGCAAAAGTGTGACAGGCACTGAATGATGGGCTACAGTCTATTCAGTCACAGAACAGGGGGAACCAACCACCTATGGGGGTGCACTTGTACCTGTGCCCCAGCTTCCCTCTCTTAGTCCTTTACTGCTACAAGTAGTTTTTAATCATTTAACTGTCGGTAGTGCACTATTCAAATGTTGATTCCACTGCAAGGAACTTAAGGGGCAGCTGAAGAGATAGAACATAAGCACAGAGATAAACAAACAAGATAATTTAAGAAAACATACATGCCATGAGGGAGATAAGATGAGACAATGTGATATGATGGTTGGAGGGGCCCCTAACTTGTTCCCCTCTTATTCTGAAGAGGTGACCTCTGAGAACTGAAGCAACAAGGCTTAGGAACACCTGGAGGCAGAACTTCTGGGTAGATGGCCCAGTGCAGAATCTCTAGAACAAGAATAAGCCTGGTCTAATCAAAGCCCAGAAATTAAACCGCCAACCTGGCCAGAGAGCACTGAACAAAGGGAGGTGTTATGAGGAAATGCCATCGACGAGGGCCAGGTTGTATCCATCTCATAAGCACATCTCAGATTCTCCTTCAAGTTGAACTTAGCCTTCTCAAAGCGCCTTCCAAACTTTAAAACGTCAGTCTCCTTTGTCAAATTTATAAATCAAATCTAACTCTATAGGTGGTTATAAACTATAGTTTGAGAACTAAATCTGGCCCACTGTGTGCTTTTATAAAGTTTTGTTGGTACACAGTCATGGTCTTCCATTACATTTTGTCTCTGTCTGGCTTTGCTTTATCAGGATGGAATTGTTTGGCAGTGATAGAAATTGTACAATCCACAGGAAAAAAAATTGTGAACGCCCATTCCTGTGGTCACGCTGAGTAATTATCCGCATAATCACTAAGTGGCATTTATAGACACTAGTTGTTTTTCATGTCCTCATTTCATCTTTCTACCACTCTGCAATCTCACTGAATCAGGAAGAGCAGTGTTGCTGAAGGGCTAGCAAGGTGGGATCTGCGATTAGACCGCCCAGGTTAGCAATCCTGTGGGGCCAGTTACCGGGTGTATCCTTGGGGAAGTTAATAAATTTCTCTTTGCTTCCTTTTCCTAACTCATAGAATTGTGTGGACTAAAGGAGGCAGAGACCACATTCACACAGGAAGTACTTAATAAAGTTTGGTTTTATGGGAATTCTGCCCTTTACACAGCATTCAGCTGGTGTAGTAGCCTGCAGATGTTTCCTAATGGTGGACGATGAGTTTTCCAAGAAGACTCTAATGCTTCTTTCAAATTTTCTTTGGTTATGTAGGGGTAAAAATAACTGAAATATATTAAGCACAAGTATAAATTATGAATAGTCTGTTTACACCCATCATTTCTGAGCTCTACTTTTTCATCAGAAAGCATTCCATAGGTATTTATACAGGGAATTTGTCCCTCCCTATTCTGGTGGATTGTGTGGGACCCATGCCCCATTGGCCACTGTGGACATGCAGGTTTAACTGGATTCCCAGTGACCCTGATTCGATGTTTCCTTTTATTTCAGAAATCCTAGGGAAGAACTCCTCCCATGGGAACTATTTTTTTATTTGAAAAAAAATTTTTTTACAGTAAGTTTTTCCCAAGATCTATGTATTTGATACATGTAAGGACTGTCCAGGCAGGAAGCTGGGGTCAGAGGTTTCTGAACTGCTTGTAGTTCCCAGGATGGGGAAGAGCAGACTAGCAAAGGTATGAGACAAGCTTATCATTGTTTATCTATTTACAGGGCCTAGATAGTGCCAGAATGCATTAGGTTTCTGGGTAAATGTGATTTTCATCATGAGGTTTCGCTTACTATGTGTGACCTGGGATAAGTCACTTCATATCTTCGATTCAGTTTTTCCATCTGAAAAGTGGGAGTGATAGCAGCTACCTAAGGAGTAAGTATAATGTGTGTGAATTCAGGTAATGATTTTCACCTCCATAAAAATGTGAGCATAGTGGTTGGAAATCTGGCTACATTTTAAGTGCAGCCAGCCATAAAACCTTGGGGATGACAAAGCAGTGTGGCCTTTCAGAAGGCTGACATCCTCTGTGTTAGATATTCTACTATAAGACTACAAATGCAAGCAGATTATGTATATAATCATGCAAAAATATAAAATATGTCTTCTGTGGTAAGAACATACTGTTCCCAAATTGACCATGGGTACCAAAAGTAATTATCCATCTTTTAGGTCTTCTGGAAATGGTTTGTTTTTTGATGCTTTTCCCTGCTTCCCTTAGGTTTGTCCAAACTCATTTAAAAGAACATCATGTCAGTTCTGGGAGATCCATGAGCTAAAGCTCATAGGCAGGGGTCCTTAAAAAAATCTTCCTCACATAGAGCCCCTAAAGTTTGTGTGATTCAAGGGTTGAACATCTGAACTCTGCTAATTTTTTGAGCCTTTATTCCCACTTAGCTAACATACTACCCACTTGGAATAGACAAGGTCATCCTGTGTTTGCTCTTCTTCAGTTTCCCAAGGTGAAGCACCTCATTTTACTGAACCTAAGGTGCCATTGCATAGCTCTTGGTACATTTTGTACCACCAAAAAGGAAAAAAGACCATCAATGAAATCTGTCCCTCTAGATTATATGCTTCATTCAGCATCAAAAATGCTAATTTGTGAAAAATGTGGGTCTTAGGATCAATTTAACTTTAAAATATATATGCAGAGAAGGAAAAGAAATGGGATGGTGATCACAGAGCTTAATGTTCACATTCAGTAGTCATAGTCCACACTCATCTGTGCTATGGTTTTCGAAAAAACCCTATAAGCTCATATAATGCCTATGACCCTGATAGCTATTTTGAAAATTAAGATGAGTAATATTATAGTTTCAGTGTCAAATGAAGACAATGAGGTGCAGAGAGATTAGTAGCTGGTACAGCAGAGCCCCATGCCCAAGGCAGGGTCTGTTTGCCAGTTCAGGAGTCATTTTCCTCCCCTTGTTTATAAACATATTTTTTTGATAATCTACAGAGAGCACGTTTCAGATTAAAAAAATCTTCATATGGTTTTAAGATCTGCCTAGGGGAAAAACAAATTAATATACAAAACACAGTTTAATGATTTGAAATAAAAATAACAAGAAGTAGTATTTCTGATGCAGGAAGGCTTGTTTGTAAAAGGCTCTGCTAAAGCACAAGCAGCTGGAGGGCTTTGCTTCAGCTGGGCTACAGGTACTGAGATGTATCTGTCACTAGGACAAGTTAGACATTCAGTGCCAGTGATGGTCCAATGGCTGAGTGATGAAACCGTGTTAGCATCCTTGAGAGTGTAGTATCTCAGGATGGGAATTTGAATGGTGAGGTTTGGAGTGATGAAAATGTGTGAGATTTGGGGAAATCTGAGAGCCACAAAAGGAATGAAGACACTTAGAAAGCCCGGACAGCTGAGATGGAACATGTGTACTGAAAATACACAAGGGCGGGCCAATCCTGTCCTGAGAGCTGATGGATAGACCTCAGGATGTGGGGGCACATAAGGTGGGGTTGTTTTCCATCAGGAACCAAAGAGGCTGGGAGGGATAACAGGCATTTGGTTGATTTAGAAGAATAAAGTCCATATAACATGGAGGAATCGGGATTAGAGTGGTTTCATTAGTAGGCTTGTATTTGTAAGGTGACCACTTAGCACTGTTGATGTTATCCAAAGATTGGAATATTTAAATGATAGTAACCAGGTAAATGGAGGTGCTTGGCCTTGGCTGAGAGGGTAACAGGCTAGGACCTTCCTGAGCTTAATGAATAAGGGTTAACATCTGGACAAAAGCTCTTGTTTATGAAAGGACAGCCAGGGGTCTGGTAACTAGAAAAGTCTGACAATTATGGAGTCATCTGGAAGGGACTTCCAGTAATCCCGTAAAACAGGCATTGCAAAGGATCTCTTTTACTCTTATGAAACCGAGACTCAGAAAGGTGAAATGACTTTCCAAGGTCACCATAAGGAGCAAGAGCATGATCTGTCTGACACCAAAGTTTTAACAGCATCACCCTGCCTCTGATGGACCCATGATGACCAAGGGAACAAGAAAAATACTACAGAAAAGAGAAAGAAAACACAGAACGGCGTGAATGCGCGCACCCAACTGCACTTAATGAAATGTCGTTATTAAAATAATCATAAACATTATCTTGTCACTAATTCGCTGGCACTGATAAAAGAGGAAGAAAGTAACTACTGAAAATAAGCGTGGGGTGCGGCAGCATTTGCTTCAGTTCTGGGGCTCCATTATTGCCGTTCTCTGTGTTATGGGCTTAAACAAAATGGGTCGTTGTGTGTATTTGGGGTGGGGGTGTTGGGAGACTGGAAAACTTGCTGGACAGCCACACCTGTAACAGCGCCTTTGGAGGCCTCTGAGCATCCCAGCAGTGGCTTAGCTTTGGTAAGAAGGCTCGCTGCGGAGTTCGAGTTCCTGCCTACAGCTGTCCGCAGAAATGGCGGCAATGCACTGGCCTTCTAAGCACTTTTAGTGGGCTCTCAGATTCCCTACTCACTCGGCTCCTGTGCATCTTCTTGGCAGCTGGGAGAATTGCTTTTCTGCTCCACACAGCTTTCACCTTGACAAATACGACTTGGCTTAAGTGTCCCTGTAGCCTTTTTAGCTTGCTCTTCTCATAGCAAAAGCAGAAGAAGAAGAGAAAAAAGAGCAGGAATAGGAAAATTACAATGACATGATATGCAGATCCCTAGGCTGTTCCTATGACTGCCTTTGCCCAAACATGATGAGATCTCCCTGGCAACCACCCTTCTCCACTCCTGTGAGAGGCCAAGGCTGGTATGCAACTGAATTTGCTTCATATTACTTACAATTACCTTTTAAGGACAAGTATAAATACCTACCTTATTTAATACAGGCTTAGACTCTTTGCCAAAGATTTCTCTACATGTCTTTAAATGTTCTTGAAAGAAAACAACTTTGTAAACAAGGCTATGTATTGGTGATTTATTCACTCAGTGGCTCTGTGGGGTTACTTTCACCCACCAACACTTATGCATAACTTCAGGGAACCTAGCACCATAGTGATTTCTGAATAAATATGCCTAAAGCACTTTATAAAATATCATCTCTGGCCTCAAAGGAATTTCCAAGTTTTAAGTGGATCAGGCAAATTTGGAGGATGGATGAAGAAAAGGAGTAAAAATAGCTTGAAAGCATGTCAAGCTGAGTTGAGCATTCAATCTCAAGGCACCTGATTGCCGACTGGTTGGAACTTGTTCCCATGTACCCCATCCCCTAGGGGGTGAAACTTGTGGGAGGACCTAAGGACCCCTACAATCAGCACTTGCTTTGGGAGTTGGTAGAAAGTACTATGAAGGGGGCATCTGATGACCAGAAGGGGACTGTCAGGCAGTGCATTTGTGATAACACAAGACATCGTGGCCGAGATACTAGATTCCAGTAGGATGCATGCGGGGGCACCGGGGGAAGTGTATATTTATGGATGGTCCACCCTGTATTTTTACTGGTGTGGACACTGATGGATTTTGCTGTCCCAATTCCACTGCTGGCTCTTGTGGTCACATTCCATTGGCTTTGCTTGCGGGAACCTTTCTCCTTCATTTGAGGCCCATGTGCTTCAGGGGTGGTACAGGGTTTGGGCAATCCCCACTAGCACATCACATTCCCAGAGCCTTCTTTGCTCACTGCTTGTTTGCACTGCTGTGGGACTGTGAGTGTGATCTAAGCCTGTTCAGTCCATAAGGAACTTGGGACTTTTGCTTGGAATGATGGACAAAGATATTTTCTTACATTGAGTACTTCAATAAGGAAGCATGTAGCTTTAAGATTTGCAGGTAGTGATTTTTATACTCACAAATATACAAGTATTAGTTGATATACCAGAAAACCCCCATGTTGCTGCTAATCCTACTGCAAAGATATGAAAATCGAGACTGTTTGGCATTAAATAACTGACATTAGTAGTATACAGCAGTTAGATGTCTCTATTCTTTTATCAAACCATTCTGCCTACAAGGGTTATTAAACATTTTGGCAATTTTTCATTAATCATAAAACTCAAGTATTAAATTTTCTGGAGATATAATACTGCAATATTTTGAAATTTTCAATTAATAACAAATGTTAGAACCAAAGAGCTTAAAGTAATAGATACAGACCACCCACCACCCAGCAGATACCTGGCTCCATGTTTTAATGAAATACAAGGAAGAATTAAAACACTTAAAAAATGTATGGAATAAAAAATAAGGGTTTTGGTCTATAGTAGATTTACTTATTTCCATTGGGCTACGTAAAAGATATAATTTGGAGCCATGAGTTTTATTGTTTACTTTTGGGCACACTGGAGGAATAACTGTTGACTCAAAATGGATAGCTAAAGTTTGTGTTTTCACATCATTGTTACAGTCAGTAATGTGCTACTGTCTGTTCAATATATCTTGTGTGTTTGTAGGTATAATTCCTAAATTTGAAAATTGAGTTCCCTGAGGGAAACTAGAATTTTGGATTGGGCGTTCAGTAGCAGAGACAGCAATGGATCAGTGATCTTCCTTCTGGGGGTCCACAGAGGCCCAGATATGGAAATAACATTCACCAAAGCTAACCTGTGGTGTTGGCTAAAATCCCACAATTCTCTTAGCCAGTCATCATCTGTCAATGCTACACATTCCCTAGCCACTTATCTGATTTGTAGGACTATGACTGTATTTCTTTAGAACAAGAAGCCTGGCAAACACAGAATGAACAAATGATACAGCTATTTTAGAATGCTTATGAATACAGATATTTTCTCTTAGAATAGAAAGTCTAATCTTACAAACATGGTCAAGTTGAGTTCATAAACTATTTAGTCAGTCATCTCAAAATATTTTTGCTTTAGATACCTTATTATTAATTTTAGAATACCAAGTTTGTCAAATGAGGCTATGACTGACTATACTTATCATTCATTGACTTGACTTTTTGACATTTGCAAACAAATGGATGAAACCCTAATAGATGTAAAGAGCTGTGTGTCCTTGTTCTGCTTCATTGATTACTACTGCAACTTGGTGCCTTTTATTCCAAGTGATATTCGAAATGGAATTCACAGTATACCTGAAAGTATATTGCATTTAACTGGATCACTATGGAATTTTTCCTCACTGAAGCCATCCATTCTGTAGCAGTGAAACACTATGAAACTACATGAATCTAGTCATTGATATCTAGAAAGACAAATAACATTTTGGTGTCTTTATGCATATTCATGGTACAAAATTCCACTTTAGGGGCTGAAGAGATGGCTCAGCAGCTAAGAGCACTGACTGCTCCCGCAAAGGACCCTGGTTCGATTCCCAGCACTCACATGGTGGCTAATAACCGTCCATAACTCCAGTTCTAGGGGATCCAACACCCTCGTCTGACCTCCACGGGCAGTGCACAACACGGGTGCACTTACATACATGCAGGCAATATACTCATACACATAAAATAAAAATACTAAAATAAAATTAAAAATTCCACTTTAAAAATCATCACATAAGGATGATATCTCTTGAACTTCAAGCTATATTTCAGCCCACTTCCTGCAGGCAGTGAGGTATCTGTCACAGGTCTGTGCACAGATCATGTACTACACAGCTCTTCATCAGTATTTCCCAGCTAACCCAAGCCACACTGAAGGGAGATAGGAGTGCTCCTCATAGGGCTCTGAGGCAAGGTTCATTACCTCAAACTTCAATAATGGTATTCTCTTCCTTAAACTGATAATTTAGTGGTTAAGCTGGAGCTAACAGTAGCATTCTTTTTGTGATTTATCAAAATGCTACAGAAGCATTCATTCATTAGTTTTTTCAGCACCTATTACTGAGCATACATTATAAAATAGGCATTGCAGTAGATAATGGGGTTGAGAAATGGGATTGCTGTTCTTAGGGAGAAATGGTGAAGACAGACATTAACACAAAGGGTACTTTGGAGGAAAAGGAAGAAGGGACGGGAGAAAGAGGAGGTGATGCAGGGGAGGGGAGTGTGGAGGGATGTGTGATGCTGACAGCATGGTCACTGAAGGCCTCCCTGTGTGGCCACTGAGTAAAGACCAAACAGGTCTGATATCTGCCAGGAGAGTGCTCAAAGAAGAAAGGAGAGCAGGTGAGGAGGTCCCGAGGGGAGGACACGGCTGCATTTTTGACAAGTAGATGGAGAAGAGTTGGAATTGGAAGGCTGTGATAGTCGGTGGGACTGATGTCTATTTAAGGTAGGCTTTCCAAGCTGTTACAAAGACTGTGGCTGAAGTTTTAATTAGAGACAGACATGTTCTAATTCAAAGGAATCTTTCAGGTCATCCATTTGGGAATGACTAAAGGGGAACGCAGAGTTGAATTCAAGACGCTGCTCATGCAGGAATCTAGACCAGGGTTAAAGGTGAAGATCCAGATGGTTGTGATGGAGGGAAGATGATGACTTAGCGAAGCATGACGCTAAGGCTTTTGGCTTGATTAACTGGAAGGGCTGAATGTCCGTAAGTGAAATGAGGAGTCCTAGAGAAGAGGAGACTGGGGGAGGAAGACTCAGATTAAGAGCTCAGCTTAGACTCTCATTCAGCATACCACGGAGAGAGCTGCACACCCATATTTATGGCAGCACTATTCACAATAACCACATTATGGAATCAGTCTAGGTGTCTATCAACAGATGAATGGATGAAAAAGTAGCATGTGCCATGAATGGAACTTTATTCAACCATAAAGAAGAGTGAAATTGTGCTGTTTGCTGAAAAAATTGATGCAAATTGGGATCAGATTACGTGAAAAAGCTAGATTCAGAAAGGAAGATGTTACATGTTTTCTCTCATATTAAAACACAAAGCCAGATATATATGTAAAAAGAAGACTGATGTTGGGGAATAGACTAGTGGGAAAGGGAGGGGAGAGAGAGGAGAAGAGAGAGCACAGGGTGGTGGTGAACGTAGTCAAACTGCCTTTATGAAATGCAACACTATGCACAGTGAATATGCACCAACAGAAAGAAAGAAAAAAGGACTCAGTTGGCCTGTACTGAGATGCCCAGGAGACATCCAAGAAGAGATGCTGAGAAGGGAGCTGGGTATATGGTAGGCCATATGGTGTATGCATATGGTAGGCCAGGAAATACGGGCTGGAAAAATCCATATTGACATGTAAATGACTCATGTCTTTGAGAATGAATGAGGTCACCTGAGGAATGAGTGTTAGAGAGAGGTGGCCCAAGAGCTGTGTCCAGCTTAGCTTTGCTCCAATTTTTGGGAGGAGAGAAGCATAAAGCAGCAAGAAAGGACCAGCAAGGTGAGTGGTCCTGGATGCTGGGCAAGGAAGGGTTATTTAAGGAGGAAAGGAGAATGCATTGTTACCAGTCTTAATCTGGTGGGACACTAGAATAGCAACATCCATTTCACCTCTTAGTCATTCTGTGCTTCATACAAAGGATTCTGTTTGCCATTAATTGGCTTTCTTTTCTCAGCAGGAAGCAAACTTGTGAGTACCACTTTTGTTTTCTTCTTTCTCTCTCTTCAAACACTTTTTGACTACTTACCACAATAAGGAATGCATCTTACTTTGGAAATCCAGTGCCCACACACATACAAATGAAAGAGAAAAGAAATGCTTAACCTTTCGGCATGTGGTGCAT